TAAATAGTGTAATAAAATCAAAATTCATTTGGTCTTTGATCTGTTTTGAACTGTACAAGACACAAGTGCTTTCTCTTGAGATTGCGTAGCCACATTTTTTGCACTGCCTGCTTGTCTATTTCACTTAGTAAAGCTCAGCTGTCCTTTGTAGTGCAGTGCAGTGTACAGTACGGCCCAGTATAGTGTGTTCCATGTGTTTATATTTCTGTTTTTCTTTAATGGTTCCCAAAAGACACCAGTTCACATGCTATGTATTATTCACTGTCTCAAAATCATCAGCATTTGAGCTATTTATAGCAGATCAGATCTTTACAAAAAAAATCTTGTAAAACAGCATTGAGCATCATTTATAGGTTTGTATATTTGCACTATAATAAAGAGAATTCCTTTAGTTTCTCATTTTAAAAGGTACTTCTATAATGGCAGCAAGTTTAATTTTGCAAATAAAACATTGTTGGGGCATCCTATTAAAATAATTGAATGCCAAACACATCAGAAACAGTCCCATCTGCTTAAATAAATAATTGAACATTAAACATGTCAGAAATGGTCCCATCTGCTTAATTTTTTCTTTTCAAGGAGATAAGATGTGCACTTTGTAATTGCAAAGCAGATTAATGTACAGTCCAAGAGTGTAAAAGATGATATGCAGTTTTTGTGGCATATGGGTGCTTGCCTACACTGTCTAGCTATGGGGGTGTAAATTGCTGTACACACAAAGATAAAAGGTGGGTTGGCCTTGAGATTAAGGCACATGACTAGATTATAAGAAGTCTGGATTTGAGCTCTAACCCTGTCCTAGTTGTCTTGTGTGACTTCAGGCAAATAATTTAATCTTGCCTGCATCAATGCATGTTAATGTCCCATTAGAGGAGAAATCTGTAGTGCTGAATGAGGGCATTTTCTTGGTGTAATCTCTTTGTTTGCAGACTGTACACAAATACTGTTTCCTGAAATGACCATGAACTGCATGCTGGCAGTTTTCAGCCAATGTACCCCTGCCTCCTTTCCAAGAAGTGCTGACTTAAGCTATATCCATACTAGCACTTTAGGAATTCTGTTATACTGTGTAGACAAAGGTGTTCCTAGTGTACAGGAAACTACATTGGCAAAACTGCTCTTTGTACCAGTATATTAAAACCACACCCTTCTTCCTACTCTGCCTGCTGGAGAAACACGCTATATTTGTAAAAGCTCAACTTTCCTGGTATAAGTGCGTCTACACTAGGGGCTTCTGCTGGCACAACTATGTTGGTTAGAGACCACATTGCTTCACTCTCCTGACCAATATAGCTATGCCGACAGAAGCTCCTAGTATAGATACAGCCTCTGTCCTCATCCCTCTCCTGGAATCTCACAATTTAAACACACCATTTCTTGTTCCTCCCTAACCCCCTTAGCTTTTCTCCTGTGAACCCCATGTGTATATAGCTGCTCATGTGGGACCATTTGGCTTTGAAAGATGAGCCTAGGCTCTCAACATCCTGTTCTTTAGCTGCTTTGAAGTCCAAAGGATCATCAGAAGAGGTTTGCCTGCCCAAACCAAGGTTGGCTTATCCTCAATGAGTGGATATAATGAGAGTTTCACCCTGAGCTTTTATACATCAGTTACTTGTAACATTAATGACATTAGTATCTGTTGCCATAACAACAATATTACATTGTTCTTGCTTTTTGCATCTTGGTGCTAATTCTGAAATAGATGACAAGTAGTGTTGAAAATAGCATCCCTTTCGGGGAAAAAGTAAGAAGGCAAATACTAAAATAGTGAGAAGATATGTGTGTCTTTCATCAATCAATCAATCAATCAGTTTTTCCCAATGTAATGAACTCTAGGATGGATCTGTGCATTCGTTCTTTACTCCGGTGCAACCAGAGTCAAAACTACCAGATAGCCTCTCTGATTAGGGGATGTATTGTGCTTCTGGTGAATTGTCAAAAGGGATACAGAATTGTCCTCTACACAGTTGTGACTTGAACATCAATCTATCTTTGAGTCATATGAACCATTTCCACAGATTTGAAAAGAAGAAATTATTGAAAACATCTTGTTTTATCTCTCACTGTAAAACATCTAAAGAAAAACATTGTGTTGACATATCACCTAAAATATATTGAATTAAATTCTAAATATCTAGAGCTAGCTGATTTAAAGGAACACTATCAAAGTAGGCAATGGTAGCTCAATATGAGACCATATACACCTTAGTTCCAAAATTATGTAATTGCTACACTACCGAGAGAAGAGGGTAGGTGCAATTTCTAACAAAATGCATCTTTGCTTAAAAAATTAATACACGAACATTATTGTTATCATGATAGTATCCAGATGATTCAATCACCGCAGTGTTAAGTGTTGTACAAACACATGCTAAGAGGCAGTCCCTACCACAAAATACTTACAGATAGACAAGAAGGACCAAAGTTGGGAGAAAGGGAGCCATATTAATTCCATTACTAATGGTGAATGGAGCACAGAGAGTTAAAGTCCTGCACCAAAGCCCATTAAAATCAATGGAAAGATTCCTATTGACTTCAAGCAAATTTGAAGTGGCCCCAAGTCCCTTGCCCTAGATGACACAGGAAGTGTGTGGTATAGTTGGACATTAAACACAGAACTCCTGAATCCTAATCCACTATCTATACCACCAAAATATAAAGCTATTTTTCACTTATAAAGCTAAGTTCATAGGCCATCATGCAGAAATGCCTGTATATGGGCATGTGAAACCTTGAGCATAGGAGCGCAATCCAGTTTTTGCATTTCCTTTAGCTATCTCCTCCACTCCACTGAGTGCAAACAGCCCCATACTCAGTCATATCTCCCTAATGTCCTCAGCATTGCCCATAGCCATACACCAGTGACATTAAATAGATCCAAAGGGTGGAAGGCATAATCAGAATGAATATTATATATCTCTAATAAAGAGACCACTTTGTCTCTTGGGCCAGCATTATATCAAGATATGCAATATATGTACACCAAAATGTGGAAATGTACAGTAAGTAAAGTTCTCTGCTCAACATATGTAAATTTGCCTCTGGGGCATCTGGTATTGGCCGCTGTTGGCAGACAGCATACTGGGCTAGACGGACCTTTGTTTGACCCAGTATGGCCATTTTTATGTTATTATATTTGGTTAGTTTAACAGAATCCTTGCTGTCACTACGTGAGGTATTTTTATCATCATATTTTAAATATACCAATAGAATATATATGGATACTATATATTAAGAATGAATTTATTTTTTATTGAATTTTCAGGCCCATATACCAGTGTCCCTGGAAGCTGTAATTTTGAAGCAGGAGACCAAGATTGGACTATTGCATGTGGATTAACTCAAGAATCTGCTGATGATTTTGACTGGAGTATTGGCAACAAGGTTGTCACAGGGCAAAGTGGTCCTGGTGATGACCATACACCAGGTAATATTAAGTTCCTCACATCAGTTTGGGACAAAAAAATTGTCACTCTTAGTTCTGAAAATCATCAAGCCATCCACAGAGAAAATTGAATATTCTGCAGAATTAGTCCCACTGTACACAGCAGGCCTGCTTAGTTGACATGAGATCAATTCAATGTATTGTGCCAGAAGATAGTGGTTTTCACTCCATACTTCTGTGTAGCTAATTGGAAAATGCCAATAAAAATGTTCCGTTCTTTTCAGGTAAGGAACAATGGGGGGGGGGGATAGACATCATAAATGGATGTGCTAAAGTGGGCCAGATGAATGTATTGAATCTTACGCAGTCATAGTAACCACTGGTGGTGTCTGAATGCAATTAAAAATAAACTGCCTAAAAGAGGCCTGTTATCTGCCATTTTAATCATTGGTTGAGTCAGCAACAGTGTAATTTTACAGATTGCTCTTTTCAAAGTGACCTTGATGATATCGTTCCTGATACTCTCTTAAGGTTTGATGCATTTGTTTAGTCATCTCTAGACAATGAGCTTCTAAATCAAATGTAAGGATACTTATTAGTCATGACCGTTGGTAAGAAACAAACTTATTAACAGACATAGTGGATAAAATAAACCTACTTTCCATGTGGAAGCATCTAGAAAACTCTTATTAATTAAAGCAATATTTTTAAATCTACTCATTTAGACCTACAAAAGATTTAGATACCAAAAAGAGAATAATTAGTGACAACCATAGCTCCTTCTCTGTTGGACTTTTCTATAGATACTGCCTTATACATTTCTGACTAAGTGTCATCATTTTGTTGTAATTCTGGTGCATTTTTCATAATTCGGCCAGGTTCTTCTTTCAATTGAACTGACATGAATTCAGAATAATGCCATTGACCTAAATGGCTTATTTTGTATTTTCTGTGTAATGAAGCTGTAAACACACTTCTATAGAAATTGATCTTCCACAGCATCTAATTAACATGGTTACAAACAAAAATTATTCTGAAATTTGGCTTTCAAAACTCAGAATGGATTGTGTTTGAAACAGCAAACCCTCTTCTTAAATGAACAAAATGGCCGGGTAGGTAGTGAGCTGAGACCTCTGCTATTGTACTCACCTACTTTACTGATATCTTGTCTTTCTCTTTTCCCTGTTTCTGCCTCATCCACCCATTTCATTTTGTCATAATCTAAGATGAGCTCTTTGTGGTCTTTTAGACCATGCATGATGGGGTACTGACCCTGGATTTATGGCACTACATCAGGGGTGGGCAAAAGCCTCTTAAAAGGTCGCATCTGGCACACGTAGGGCTTTGATCTGGCCCATGAGGCAGTTCCAGGCCCCACCTCCTAGTGCATTGCCTCAGAGCAGGAGAAGGGCACAAGCCCTTTTAACTGCTTCTATTTAAAGGGTCACATCTTTCCCCATGCCTTGCATAGCAGCCTCAGGGAAGGCGCAAGCCCTTTAAATAGGAAGAGTTGAAATGGCTCACGTCTCTGGCTCCCTAGAATTGTGCTAGAGGCATGGGGAGCTGTGAGCCCTTTTAAGTACTTCTCTTTAAAGGGCTGGTGCCTTCCCCGCACCTGTTAGGCAACATGTTGCCTAGTAGCCACAGGGAACATGAGAGCCCTTTAAATAGAAACAGCTGAAAGGGCTCGCAGCTCCTGGTGCCTCTGGTGTGTTGCCAGAGAGGCACAATCCCTTTCATCTGTTTCTATTTAAAGGGCTCTCGTGAGCAACGCTAGTCTGGAGAATAGAGTCTATTCCAGCATATCGGATGCTATTGTGTGATAGCTGGTGACAATGTTGGCTTTTCTGTGGTGACCACTGTATTTTAAAATGAATTTTTGTATGGAAGTGAAATGTTTGGAATAAGGTGATAGCAATTATTGACACCTTTTTACCATTATAGTTTGTCATTAGCTTATCCTGGGATCAAATCTTACCAATATATCAATGCCAAAACTCTCTTTTACTAAAGAGAGTAAGGGTATGCAGGGGCAAACTGGCAATCAAAATAGGCCTGGGAAATGGGTTGAGGACAGCCCACTTTTTCACATCAATTTTTTTTTTAAATTTACCCTTTGACCACCATTAGCCATACCCCGACCCCTGTTAGCCACACCCCCTGACTCCAATTAGCCAGGCCTCTGGAGGTAACACTCTCGGGGCAAGATGGACACATGACCAGAAGTAAAAGGACTTTTCCCACCATCCTTCTACCAATAGGGATTAGTTTGGCCCCCATCAACCCCCCCTCCCCATGCAAATATCCTGCAATTGCATTAACCCAATGTGTGTGACATTAACTTGGGGGCGAAGAGGCTGGGGGAAGTGTTCCCTCGGAGGCTATGTCTACGCTGACAGCTTCTTGCGCAAGAACATCTTGCGCAACAGTTCTTGTGCAAGACGTCTTGCACAAGGGAGAGTCCACACTGCCATGTGCGAGATGTGTTTTTGTGCAAGAGTATCCATGGCAGTGAGGACGCTCTCTTGCGCAAGAAAGCTCTGATGGCCATTTTAGCCATACGGCTTTCTTGTGCAAGAAACCGCTGCCACGCGTCCACACTGCCCTCTTGCGCAAGAGCTCCTGCACAAGTGAGCTTATATCTGTTAGAAAAGAGCGTTGCTCTTGCGCAAGAAACCCTCTCTTGCCACGACATACTGTAAATCTTGCACAAGAGCTAGCGGGCAGTGCGGACACTCTGCAGATTCTTGTGCAAGAAAGGCCATTGTTGCACAAGAACCCGCTAGTGTAGACATAGCCTAAGAGTTTCCTCCCATGAGCAGAATGAATTTTGTGTTGTGCACCAGTACTGAGTTCATATGGCTTGTTTGGATGTGCCACTGTTGCACCCAAGTTATTAATAAATATCTTATAAACCTCTAACTTTTCCCTGTGCTGCCATGTCTCCTCCCTTGCTCCATCAGCTCCCCTGGTGCCTGCTGCCCCCCAACCCCTAACCGTCCTCTGCTGTTCTGACTCGGACTCCTGCCCTTCTCACTGCCCTCAGCCCTCCTGAGACCTGCCCTCCATCAGCCCTTCTCTCCCCCCTGTGCCCACTCCTCCAGTAGCCCCACTCTGATCATGTGAGCTACCCCTCCTCATCCCCTCTCCTAACACCTCCCTCTACACACCTGCCCTGCCTCTCTCCTCTGGTGCTGTTCCCTCCCCTGCAGGTGTCTGCCCTTCTGCTTCACCCCCAGAATCTCCTAGCACCTGCACCTTCCCTTACCCCTGCACCCTCCTGGTGCCTCTCCTTTCCCTCACTACCCCTTGCCCCTTTGCCCTCTTTTTCCCTGATGCCCGCCCCCTCACCATGCTCTGCCCTCCGTTCCTCTCATGCCCCCTGTTCCCTCACACATGACTTGCTCCATTGCCACCTTCCTCATGCCCACCCCTTCTTTCAAGCCTTATCCCAGCACCTCCCCCTCCAGCCCCCAATGCCCTTACCCTCTCCTCTCCCAGCATCATCCTGTCCCGCCTCCCACTGACACCTCCCCTCCTGCCCTTTTCCTCATTGTCTTTACTTGGCCCCCTGGCATTTGACTCTCCTCTACCCTGTCCCTTGGTGCCTTCTCCTTTCTTCTCTTGACCTGCCCTCTTCCCCACAGCACAAGCCCCTTCCTCTCCCACCCCTTCCTCCTATTTTTCCCTCCCTTCCCACCTACGTTTTGCCTTCCAGTTTGCAGGGCTGGAGTCTGTGATCAGGCCCCAGCTGCTTCCGGGGCTCCAGACCATGTGCCGGGCCTTGAGCTGGGCCGCATAGTGCAACTCTGGGCCGATTGCTTTTAAAGTCCCAGGCCGTGACATTACGCCACACCCAGGCATCTCCCCTCTCACCTCGGCCCTAACATACCCGGCACACAGTGCCAGGGAATTTAAAGTGTGGGACTGCAGCGCCCCGTCACAATCCCCCTCCTCCTCCAGCAGACTTCGGCCAGCCCTTCGGCCGGCCCTTCGGAGGATAGCCCACCAGGAAATTCCCAGTGTCCCGCTGGGCCAGTCCATCCCTTGAGGAGAAAATGAGGAGTAAAGGATCTTTTGAAACAGGGCATTTCTGTCTAAAATGCCCCGTCTAAACTGTCGGTTTTTTTGAAAATCCCCATTTCGGAAAAAAGCGATGGACACGATTTTGCAAATGAAGCGTAGGATATTTAAATTCCAGCTTCATTTGCACTTTCAATACGTCTAATTTATATCCCTCTGTGACAGAGGGGTGTAGTTTAGATGTACCCTAAGAGTGATTTATCAAGAGGAAAAAGCCAGTCTAAAGACAAAAGAGTTAGTTTACTCAGAAGTAATTGGCCCTTTTTAAAACCAGACAATGTGTCATGTTACCCATTTTCCATGGAGCTAATCTACAGTGCTACATCCTGGGTTTAATGGTAAAGATTTTATGTCATGTAGTGCATGTCTACTCAGCAGTGTTATTTTGGAATAACTGACATTATTTCAAAATAACAAAGAGCATGTCTACACAGCAAGCCATTTTTTGGAATAATGACAAGCTGGAGGACTTCTCACTCCAGCTTCTGTAACCTTCATTTCACAAGGGCTGTGTCTAGACTGGCAATTTTTTCCGCTTTTGCAGAAAAACTTGCCAGCTGTCTACACTGGCTGCTTGAATTTCCGGAAAAGCACTGACGATCTCATGTAAAATCGTCAGTGCTTTTCCGGAAATACTATGCTGCTCCCATTCGGGCAAAAGTTTTTTTCCGAAAGACTTTTGCGCAAAAGGGCCAGTGTAGACAGCACAGTAGTGTTTTCTGCAAAAAAGCCCTGACTGCGAAAATGGCGATTGGGGCTTTTTTGAGGAAAAGTGCGTCTAGATTGGCCACGGACGCTTTTCTGCAAAAAGTGCTTTTGTGCAAAAGCATCCTGCCCATCTAGACGTGCTCTTCTGCAAATGCTTTTAACAGAAAACTTTTCCATTAAAAGCATTTTCGGAAAATCATGCCAGTGTAGACGTAGCCATGGAATAAGGGAGGTCAAAGGAAGAATGTTCTTCCTTTAGCTTCCTGCTGTAGAGATGGCACCAAAAGCTGAATTAAGCTATTTTGCCTTCAATTACGCAATTGAAGCAGCTGAAGTTGTTCCGCTCAATTCAACTTTTGCCCTGTTGTATAGACATGCCCTTAATGAGCTACGGATATGTAAGATGTTACTGGTCTCCTGCCCATGAAAGACCCACTATCACACCCAGAGGTTTTTTTCCAGGCAGTTTTATTTTACAAACAAAGGCAAAACCCTGCAAGGGAAGTTCCTGAGACCACTCAGAGAGTTTTCCTGTTTGTCCTTCTCAGTCCCTCCTGATTCAGGACATACTGTAAGATTTCTTCGAGGCTCTTTCAACTGAGCACCACTTTACAAGGCTTTCTCCTGGAGGCCTTTTCTCCTCAGCAGGTTCCTACTGCCTCCTCTCACAGAAGATGCTGGCAGCCTCCCCAGGGAACTCCCTGTTCCTCAGCTAGTACCCTAACTCTTTTTAACCCTTCATTCTGGCCCATCCTCTTAACTGGCCAAACAGGAAGCACCTGTTCTGGCACAAGAAGATCTGGACCTTCTTTATTTTAAGGGGCCAGTCATTCCATTACTGTCCAATAATCTTCAGGTTTCCCCTGCTTACCTGAAGAACAATGTACAAGTAACATAACTTAGAGTTTTTGTTAATTCTTGTACTAGAAAAACCCTTTCAAAAGAACAATGACTTTCATAAATAGAAATCATGGTCTTAAACTAATGTTAGAACATGGTGGTTCTTTTAGTGATGTGTTTGGCTTCATAGCTGAGGCTATGTCTACACTGCAGAGTTTTTGTTCAGTTTTTGTGCAAAAACTCGCAGAGCATCCACACCTCAAGCGCGTTTTTGCGCAAGACAATTTACAGTGAATCGGCAGAACAGAGAGGTTTTTGTGGTATAGATCTTCTTCTTTCTATGAGGAATAACTCCTTTGTGCCAAGAGCTCTTGCGCAAAAGGTGTGTGTAAATGGGAAACATGGTTTTTTTGCACAAAAACAGCCTATCGAAAGAAGCACGGGTACCTTTGTGGCCATTCTGTTAATGGCAAAAAGAGCTTTCTTGCGAGAGAGCGTCCATGAAATCTACATGCTCTCTTGTGCAAAAGCGTATCACTTTTCCAATGCGCTCTTGCAGTATAGATGTGCTCTTGTGCAAGAAGCCTGCATTGTAGACTTAGCCTGAATGTCCCCAGTGGACTCAGGTCTGTTTCTACTTCTCCATCTCTACTAACACCTTTCATTTGCAACAGATCCTGCACTAGGCCCAGGAGATAGCTGAATAGCAAAAGTGGCTTTTGGAGGGTTAATGGAATTGTAAAATACATACGTGTTTATAATATATACATATGTTATCAGACCATTGATCTATGTGTACATAGAGACATGCATATTTGGGTCTGATAAGATACGCTAGTGTTCTCACTATATAGTTATTTAACTAATGACCTATCTATTTATCATGGCTTATGCTCTTCAGTATGAAGTAGTATTCAAGAGCATTTTTATTCATTTTAAGGTAATGGGCAACATTTTTTGT